GGTGTTTGTCTCCAGGTGCCAGCATGGCGCAGGCAGGGCCGAGAGATGCTGACTGCCACCCTGGCTGCTTCCTCCCTGGGCCTCCCTGCAGGGTCCCAACCTGCTGTGTCCCCGCCTGGCCTGGAGAGCAGCGTCTTGGCTCCTTCTGTTCTCCAGCCTGGCTCTGTGCCCTGGTTGTCCTGGTGCCCCTCAGCCACCTGCCTTGAAGGAAAAACCAAACCAAACCATGGGGAAGCAGAGAGAGCTGGCATCTCTGTGCGACAGGCTGCCTCCCGGAGGGGTCCTGAGCGAGGGCTGTGGGACAGACATGGGATGCCCAGTTGCCTTTGAATTTCAGGGAAACAGCAGGTCACCGTCAGCAGATCCCATGAGGCATGCAGTACATGCTTATGCTGAAGGAGGTGTCTTGTCATCGATGGGAAGTTCAAATGCATCTGGCTGTCAGGTATTTGCAGTAGTAAATCTGGTGACCCTGCTGTGAGCACATCCCAGACAGGTCCTGCCCTCTCTTCATGCTGGATCTTGCCTCTTGATGTTAGTGACTGACATTGGCACTCTTTCTTTCTCTCTCTCTCTCGTTCTCTCTCTTTCTTTCTCCTCTCTCACTCTTTCTCTCCCACTTTTCCTTTCTTCCTTCCTTCTTTCCCTCCCTCCTTCCTTCCTTTCTTGGCAGTACTGGGGTTTGAACTCAGGCCTTGAACTTGCTAGCCTGATACTCTACCATGCTGACATTATTTTTCTTTCCAAATGATATTCCATTGTAAGGATTGTCACCCATGGATTGGTTTATGGACATTTGGATTGTTTCTGTTTTGGGGCTATTATATTTCTGCTGCTATAAACATTCATGTCCAAGCTTTTTGTGAACATTGATATCATCTATAGAGTGGAAGTGCTTCTGGCTGATGTGGTGATTTTTTTTTTTTTCCTCTTGGTGGTATGGGATTTGATCTCAGGGCCTACGCCTTGAACTACTCCACTAGCCTTGTGTGTGTGTGTGTGTGTGTGTGTGTGTGTGTGTGTGATTTTTTTTTTTTTCCAAATAGGGTCTTATGGAATTATTTGCCTGAGGCTGGCTTTGAATGGCAATCCTGATCTCTGCCTCCTGCGTAGCTAGGATTACAGGGTGAGCCACTGGCGCCCGGCTATTTTTAACTTTTTGAGGAACTGCCAAACTGCTTTCCAAAGTGGCTTTGAGATCCATTTTACAATCACTCTAGCAGTGTATGGGTATCCCAGTTCCTCCTCATCCTCACCTGAACTTGTGTCTCCCCATGCTGGAGACACAAGCCCTCCCAGTGGATGTGAAGTGCTATTTCACCGTGGTTTTGATTTACTTTTTCCTAATGATTATGATGTCAAGCAACTTTTCACATGATAATTGGCCATTTGCCAATTATCTTCTGACTCCTTAACCTTTATCAAATATATTATTTCAAAATATTTTCTTCCATTCAGGACCGCTCACTGTCCTGATGGTGTCCTTTGCTACATAAAAGTGTTTTAATTTTAATGAAGTCCAATTTGTTGTTCTGCTTGCTGTTTTGTAGTTTGAGAACAGAATGCACAAACACCTGTTCTTGCTTCAGTGCCTGGGACATGATGACTGGCCTTTTCCCAGGCTGGTGTCTGGCCACTCAGGACGGAAAAGAACACGTTCTCGGTACCTGAGGCTGTTGTGTGACTGATCTGAAGTCAGGACTGACTTCTTTCATAGGCCCAGGAGGCACACTGGCAGGAACCATGAAAAAAAAAAAATCAAGAGAATAAGATAGAAGTTTTAGGTCAAAGAAATGTTTTAAGTATAATATTAGTATGTTCTTATCCAAAAGAATGCAGTTGTGAAATATAACTTAAGCCTTTTCTTTGTATAGGAAAGGGCTTCCAAAGACAAAAATGCCTCCAGACATGAGTCGTAATATAGCTCAGTCCCCTGTCCCTGGAGAGGGGCCTCTAGCAGGGGACAGAACAGCATGGATGTCTCCACTATATCCTGCTGCCTCCTTTTTACCTTTGTGAGTATACAGATTGGGGCTCTGAGAGCAGCAAAGCGTGGGCATTCACCCAAGGCTTTGAACTCCCCCTCTTGGGCTCATTAGGACCAGAGTTACTAAGAGCAGCAGTTCAGACCCAGTCAGTACTAGTGTTAGTATTGTCAGTTAGTTATAATTAGTGTTATTTTATTGTTATGGCTTTGTTTTGTTTTGCATTTTTGGCAGTGCTGGGGATGGAATGCAGGGTCTGGAGCATGCTAGGCAAACTATATCTTATCACTCGAGCCACACCCTCTATGCTCTTAGTTTTTTGAAACAGGATCTCACTATGTAGCCCAGACTGGCCTTGAACTCTCCATCCTCCTGTCTCCACCTCCCGAGTGCTGGGATTACAGGTGTGTACCACCACTCTGGGCTGTTATCATGTTCTTATGAAAATAAAAGGAAAAATGATAATAAAATGGAGTTATTAGGAAACAGGACTTCTGTACTTCTTGGGCTGCTGCTAAAGAAGATGAACCCTGGTCACCTTCACCCTATGACCAGACATCTAGCGCAGAGGTTAGTGGCACTGTATGGACATTTTTACCAATTAAGGCATTTTTTTGGCGGGGGGGTGCGGGGGGTACTGGGGCTTGAACTTAGGGCCTTCACTTTGAGCCACTCCATCAGTCCTATTTTTGTGAAGGATTTTTCATGATTGGGTCTCACAAACTTTTTGCCTGGCTGGCTTCGAACCGTGATCCTCTTGATCTCTCTCTCCTGAGTACCTAGGATCACAGGCATGAGCCACCTGCACCCAGCCCAAGTAAGGCATTTTTTATCTTCTTGGATTACATAGCCCCTGTCAACAACAGCACCTATTCTTTCTCAATTGCAGCACAGTTCCCTGCAAAGGAATTCTCATATCTTTTACTGCTTGCCTCTTTAAGCTCTCACCTACTCTGCCTTCTTTGGGAAATTGAATGAAAGCTGTATGAACCTGTGTCTCAGACTGGCAATTCTTGAGATCCCAGGTCAAATCCTTTTACCTTTACCTTTACAGTGTCCAAATTTGAATTGGCTGACATTGTGCTCTGCTGGTTAAATGTGAGCTCTTGTCTGATCTTTCTGCAGTAGGTAGATGGGTGTATTATTCCCATGAAAAGTGAGGAAGGTTTGCCTCAAACATGTGATCTATTAAACCACAGAGAAGAGACTGGGCTTGTGATTTGCATGCTATTAGAGGACTATTTCCTGGCTGGGGTATATCCCAGATCCAGGGCTTGAGGGATTAGTCCCGTTCATCAGCAATCTGAGGTCAATCAGACCTGTGGCCACAGGCTGGGGACATGGCTATGTGTCTTATTTCTGGCCACCATAGTCTTGAAATAAATGGAAGCCTGCCTTGCCTGCTGTCTGTAGCTGTCTAACATGTCTGCTGATGGCCACCCCATCTTCTCCCCCCCCCAGCCCATCCCACCCCCAGCTGCACTAAAAAGCCACTTCCTGTGGTTTACTTTGGCAGACAGAAGTTTTGCTGTGATTTGGGCCTTTACTACTTCCCCAATATTTGAAGACAGAAGCGCAGCATGTAGCAGTGACTCTGCCCTTCAAGTCCACTTGGGTGGGGAAGAGGAGGAAGGAGCGACACTGTGGGAGAAATGGGGTCTTGGGGGGCCTCATTGAGGCTGGTGGGCATACCTGAGGCTCTCATCCTTGCCCATGTATGGGTCTGTCTCTTGATCAATTACCGAGAAACCAGAGCAGTGTGGGTAACCTCAGGGAATACACTCAGGATAAGGGGAAGAAGAAGGTATAAGAGGGCCACGCACAAATAAAAAGCCACTCAATTGTACCTATTTTTTTAAAAGGTAGGATAAGGGCTGCATTTTTAAAGGTAGAATGTAGCTCAGTTCTAGAGCACTTACCATGTATGTGCAAGGCCCTGTGTCTGGTTCCCAGCACAGCAAAAGATTAAAATTAAAATTCAAAGGGCAAAATAGTCGGATCTGATAGTGCGGTCAGTGTGGTGGATGGCACTACCGACTAAATTTTACCATGTGTGTCTTAATTTTTTTTTCCAGTTGAATGAGTAAAAAGAACAAAAAACAGGGCTGGAAGAGTGGCTCACGCAGTAGTGTCCCTGCCTAGCAAGCATGAGACCCTGAGTTCAAGCCCCAGTACCACAAACAGAAAAAGTTCTGTTTTGTGGACTGCAGACTGAAACTACCCCTAAGAAACAGAACACCACTAGGCAATGATGTGTTTATCCTGACCAGGGGAGGTTCCAAATCTTTGGATCTGCTTCCAAAACGAGGACTGAACTAGTAATCCACTGAACACACCTATGACGAGGACTGTTTAGGAATTACGCATATATCTCATCCCCTGCTCCCAATTCTTTGTCAACCCAGTAGCTCATGACTGTACCCCAAAGATGTCTGAAGACGGACTGAGTGCTTACTTTGCCTCTTCCCAGGCATATCCCAGCCTCATAATAGATCTTTCTCTGCTCTTCCCCATTATAATCCCTTTATATGATGTATCGGGGCAAATGGCTGGACCTGACATGAGGAATCCCAGGAGTTTGGGCCTGGGGTCTAAGACTCCAGTTTCAGCCTCATTGCAGTCAAGCTCCTGATGACAGCCCCTCTGAGAAATCCTGCCATTTTTTCCAAAATCAGTTGGGGAAAGGTAAGAGGCTCAGATTTATGCTGTGAGGACAGAGCCCCTTTGGGGTCCACAGGAAAGTCAGGCAATCCTTGCTGGGTGGCCAGTGAGAGAGCATTTTGGTTATAGGCTGGAGAGAAGGAAGAAGGCCCTCACCCTGTCAGGAGAAGGGGACCCCAATACCCAGGTGAGGCAGAAGGAGGCTAAAGAAACACAGAGGAAAATGTCACTTTGCCTTTTTTTTTTCTTCCCTAAACAAAGTGACTGTATTCAGTGGTTCCTCAGGAAGGCCAGTCATTTCCTGAGGAGATATCAGGCCAGCCCAGGCCTCATTGTTCTGAGTTTTCAGCAATGGCCGCCATTACCTGACCAGCAAGCACCACAGCGGTTCTCTGAGCTCTGTGTGCATCTGGAGAAGTTACCAAGTGGTTTCTGCTTTTTACAGGGCAGGATTCTCATCTGAGACGAGTGGGAAGGGTCTTCTGCCCCCAGGGCATGGCCAAAAGGCAGGATTAACTGTGTCTTGCAGTCTTCGCTCTCTGGTTACAGCCAGGGTGGGCCCAAGAGGGGGCAAGATGTGGCTCCAAGTTCTGCTGACTCTGCTGCTCTGTGAGTTTTTATTCTCTTCCCCTGTCACCCTGGCTTCATGAGAGCTGAAGCCCATGAAATCAACTGATTTCTTCTGTCTCTTCCAGGTCCAAGCCTTGAAGGGAAAGAAAACTGTAAGTCATGATGTTTCTTTCTACCTTTCTCATGTCTTTTCTATGATTCTTAAAACTCACCTCAAGTTTCTTGGGGTTGAGATTTACTACAATCGAGAAAAATAGTTCAATGGAAAACTAAACTTTTTTCCTTTGGGGCATCTTAAAAGAGCTTAGAACGAAACACTTGTTTTAATCTGTGTATCTTAGAAGCAGCATTTTAGGAGCAGGTTAAGAAGTCACATTTTCCAGACCCTGGTGGATTGCTGTTTGTTGGATTTGTGGAGGAGATAAGTTTGTGATTTGCTTGTGATTGTTCTGCCATGAACTGTCTTCACATCCTGCTCCATCTCCAGTTATTTTTATTTAATTTTTTTTCTCATTTCCTCTCACTTGTTTTAATTTACAAAGGAGATACAATTGATTCGTTAAGCTTGTGAAGACAGAACATAGTTTAAATTGGCACTACAACTTTTTTTTCTCCTAAATGATTAAGAAAAGACAGTGGATCTCACTTTCCATCCACCTGTGAAGCTGCAATTCTATCTTCAATGTTTTGTGCTAGCACACAGGGAAGGGGGAGTGTTTCCTGCCTTTGAAATCTGGTTCATCATCTACTTAAAAGCTGATCTGGAATCTCTGTCTTGAGATAAAGGAGTTTGTTCTGTTTTGTCTGGGGCTCCTTGAAAGATGGGGCTCAGCTGGGTCCAGGGGCTGTGAATTGGAGCAACCCTCCTCCCCCCATCGAAAGCCACTTGACTTGGCAAAGAATAAGGGTGACTGGGCTGCAGGCAGATTGAACAGCTCTTTCAAGCCTAGGTGCATGGACAGTGCAGGGTTGAGCCAAGACGGGGCAGTGGCCCCAGTGTGGAAGGGCTGGTATGGCCACCAGGAGAGCTAATCTTTGGGAATCTAAGTTCCAATATCCACGTGGTTCCCTTGGGCATTTGACCCTCATGGCAACACAGGGACGCAGGATGTTCACTATCTTCACATCACTCCACTTGACTGATAGTGTCGCTGAGCTGAGGCCAGCTTGTCCATGCAAGAGCCAGTTAGGGGCATCCGCAACAGAACCTCCCCTATCCAAAACCTGGACGTCTGTCTGGAGCCACAGGCCAGACTGAGGCTGTTGTTTCGTTTTTTTTTCTGAGATAGGGTCTCACTGTGTAGCCCAGGCTGGGCGTTGAACTCTAAATTTTTCCTCCTCAACTTCCCAAGTGCTGAGATTACACCATGCCCCATCATGCCTGGCTGTGACTCATGTCTTTAGGTTCAGTTTTATTTTGCCTCTTGGAGCCTTCTTCCTCAGGCTCGGTAACAGAGTGGGAATCGGTAACAGAACATGTGGCATGGAGTGTGGCTGGGCTGAGAGTGGGTGAAAGGAGGTGACTCTCCTATCCACTCTAGCCATGTACCCCTGGCTCTTTATTTATTTGTTTTTTATTTATTTTGCGGCACTGGGGTTTGAACTCAGCATCTCATGCTTACTAGGCAGGCACTTTTACTGCTTGAGCCACTCCACCAGCCTCTATCCCCCTGGCTCTTGTCCAGGCCACACCCTGAGGATCAGACCCTGCCCTGCCAACCCCGGAAGGCTCCTGGTTCTTTGCTCCCCATGTTTCCCAGCCCTTGCCACTCTCCTGTCTCTTTGCCCACCTCTACCTCCTTTGCGTTCCTCAAGACTCTTTGTACCTTTGGGGAAGACTTCAGAACAGGAAGAGACTCCCCCACTGCTTTTTTTTTTTTCTTTTTTAACACTGGAGGAACTTGAGACCCAGAGCACAAGGCACAGTGCAGGGTGAAAACTCTGAGTGAGCAGAACAGGGCTGCTCAGACCTCCTTTCCCCAGGCCACCTAAGACTGGCATTTGCAATGCGTAACTTGCCAGCTAGCTCCTTGTTTCCCACTTTGTGCTTGAGACCCTAGGCCAGGCTTGACCCTTTCCCCTACTAGCTCAGGCCTTCTGCGCCCCTCCAGCCCCCACCCAACTGTAGCCCACCTCCCCTCAGGAGATGACTTCAGCTCCATCTTCACCTAGAAAACAGCCAGTCTGGAGGGAACTCCCTCAACTTCCCGCCTGGCCCTGGCTGCAGGCTTATCTGCCTCTCCACCCATCCTCCCGGCTTCCCTCTTGGCTTCAGGGTACATGTCCACCCCCTTTGCTGATCAGGGCCAGTCGGTCCACCTGGGCCCTGAGCCCATCTGCTCCTCACCCCAGGACCTCATGTCTACATTTATCCATACATTTACCCCACTCCTCCCCTCCCCACTTTGAGACTCTGCACCCTCACTGCTGGTTCCTGCCTCTCCAAGCCCAATTAGTGACTCTCTTTTTTTTTTCTATTCATAAAAAGAAGAAAAATCACACACAAACAACCCACCCCCTCCATTTTTCTTGTGCCCCTCTAGCTGCTTCCGTTCTCAGTGGAGCTTTTTTAAATTTGATTTTATTCTTGAATTAGCATACACTAGTAATATGAGGGGATTTCATTGTGATAATTTCATATGTATATGCATACTTTGAACAAGTTCACCCTCTGATTTAGAGTCTCCTTCTCTATTTCATCATCTCAGGTCCACCCCTTTAATAGCTGCCCAACACCTCGCTGCCTGGAATCTCCTCTCTCTAAGGGTCACCAATGGTCACTTGCTGCCCATACAGTGGGCACTCTCAGCTCTTCCCTCAACTGGAACCCCTGGCTGCCTTTGGCTGTGTGGGCTTTTTGTTTGTTTGTTTGTTTTTTGCAGTACTAGGATTTGAATTCAGGGCTTCATGCTTGCTAGGCAAGTGCTCTACCACTTGAGCCATTCCACCAGCCTTTTTTTGTGATGGGTTTTTTCAAAATAAGGTCTCTCAAACTCTTTGCCCGGGGCTGGCCTTAAACCATGATAGTACTGATTTCTGCCTCTTGAGTAGCTGGGATTACAGGCATGAGTCAGCTGTGGCCACTGGCTGCCCAGCTGCCTTTGACTGTTGGTCATGCCCTCCAGCTTCCTTCTTTGACCTTCTAGAGCTTCTTCCTAGTTTTTGTCCTCCTCCTTTTCCCCTGGGGAGACTTTGACTTTCCCTAGACCCGAACCTCAGTTGCTGCAAACTTCATGGTTTTATTCTCTCTACAACCAACACCCCTCTCTTTTTTCCACCTGCCTCCCTCCCACCACCCCTTCCCATTTGTATCCAGCTCAGGCCTCTCTTCTGAACCTGGGGCTCAACTGGGCACCAACAGCTGCAACTCCAGCAGGCCTGGCCCCACCATGGGACTCTGCTTCCTCTCTTATCTTTTTCTGGCATTCTCTAATTCAGTTGGTGGCACCTGTGTCCTCCCAGGAACCTCATTCTAATTTCCCACTTTTTCAATCTCCATATCCAATCAGAGTCTTGAAATTGTGGTAGAATAGATAATAAAACATTTATTGGTGACATTTACTACATCCACAAGATTGGCAACCATCAGCATTGTCTAGTTGACATTTTCATCGCCCCAAAAAACAAGTCCTTTTGAGTCCAGTGAAGAGTCTGGCCCTTTACTCTACTCGTTGCCACCTGCCTGTCCCGGTTTTCACCGTAACCTCCCCAGGCTGTTTACGGGACTGCGGACTTGGCTAAAGTGATCCTTCTAAAATTCTAATCTCAGCTGTCAGGTCTGTCCTGGAGACCCTCAGATCAGTGCCTAGCTTGTCCATGTGACAGGCCTGGCTTTTCATTCAGGGTCCTGCCAACTCAGCCTATGTGGTCCCTCCATCCCCACACTCTGCTTCCTGTCACTGGTTGTGCATGAAAACACTGATTGCACTGATGTCTCACGCCCCGGGTGCCCTAGTACATGCTGTTCTCAGAGCACCCATGGCCCACCTTTGACCTGGCAGGCTCAGTCCAGGGGGCACTTCCTTCAGATTGTCCTTGGCAGACCTTCTTCTTGGTGTCACTGATGTCAGTGAACTATATCTAGGTCCCCACCCCACCAGTCTGGACTGTCTCAGACAGTGAGGATGACTGGAAACCTAGCACCTAGCCTAGATTCCATAAATGTCTCACAGATGGGAACTTGAACTGAACATGGAGTTTCAGAAAAGCTGACATGCTCTCTTGCTCAATGTTTAGGAGGGACCCCATGCTTCTTCACACCCTGTAATTTTCCTGACAATAGTGGATGGCCACCCCTTCTCCTTTCTGTCTGAGTCATTTCCAGGTTGAGAGCCAGGTGCCTGGCTGAGTCATGATGTCTTATCTTTCCAAGAATCAGAGATATCCGCTTCTGGTGGCCTTGAGATGGAGCAAAGTAAACCCAATCATTTCAGTATTTGGAGATTTGGCATTGTGATCCCTGGGTGTCTAATCTGGGTTGTTGGTGACTTTGTAACTTTGACTCCTTCTCCATCAACTTGCATCTTTCCAGGTAGAAAAAAATCTGATCTCTTTGGGTGGTTCTGGAACCCTGTCCTTCAGTAGTTCTGAGCCTTTGGGGGCTCAGTTGGGAAAGCTGTGGGCCCTCTCTCTAGAAAAATACATTTGCATGTAATCAGAGGTGGTTCTTGATCCCTTAACATCCATCCACACACCTCCCTGGGGCCCAATTACCCCAAGCTGTGAACAATCACTCTATTGTGTAATACTGAGACCTGTACACAGTAATTCAGTTTGGCTCTGGTTGGTGAGTTTACATAAAAGGATAATGTTTGCTATATTATTGACATGATAAGAATCAGAGATATTTCAAGATTGATTTGTTGTCGGTTGCCGCTTAACAAATTACCCCAAGATTTAGTGGGCATAGATAACACATGCTTTTGTTTCTTAGTTTCATAGGGTCAGGTGTGCATAGGGTCATGAGATGGCAGAGAAACTGTTGGTTGGGTTTGTAGTTTTCTAACGAAGGCTTCACTAGGCCTGGACCATCTGCTTCCAGGCTCACTCGTGGGGCTCATGGCAAAGTCTTCAGTCATGTTGGCCTTCCTTGGACTGCTCATTAACATGGCAGCTGGCTTGGCCACAGCAAATGATCCTAGAGGAGAGAAGC